TGAATGCTTTTATAAAAAATAAATTTCAAAACTACAAGAGTTGATTATATTATAGGTAGCGGGGAAGATGCAAGAAGTATCTTACTAAAAGATATTCTAATGAAATCATAATTTAAATATTTAAAATTATCGCTTATGACAGTATTGAAATACCATTCAGTAATTTTTAAGTAATTATAAATAATAAATAAATAAAATACTGAAATATCTGTAGTTAATTGATTGCAGCTTTTCTATTGTCTTCAAAAGTGAATAGTAAAGTCATGTTGAAAAATAATTGATGGATAGTAATTTTTTAATGTTTTTAATTTTTATTTATGTTTTTTTTTAATTATTTTTGATTTTCTTCCTCATTACGTTTTATCTCTAAATAGGGATTCAAGTAGTTTTTCTAAATTGTCAAACGACCCATATGATTGTATAGATACATCTATATATAGTATGTGTATTTAGATTCTAGAAAAAATTAAGATAAACATGTTTACCTTGGATCATTTTTAGAGACTGTAAATGACAATAATCTTTTTAATTGACAATTACTTGATTTGCTATATTGATTTTTATTTGAAGATAATCAATAATGACTTTTACAATTAGATAGTACACGTTAAGGCATGAAAGAAAAATATCTGAAATTTATTGTGCTGCTGTAGCATGGAATAATTGGAAATTATAAATAATTAAATCAAATGAACAAACACATTTTTTAGCTTTCATTAGTAAGTGACTTGTTCAATTATTTAAATAAAAACATTTTAATATACATGTATTTATGGAAACAATAATAATATTTAATTCAGATGTTATTCAAATAAGTTCTATTAATGGAAACTACTTGGTAACAGACTAAGTTACACAATAAAGGCACAGATGTTCATAATGCAGAACCTGAGCAATACATGAAAGCGGTACGAAGCAAAGTCTGAATTGCTTCACAGATGTGGACTTAAACAATACTTATTAAAAATTAATATATTTAAATTTATACATTTAATAGTATAACACAGAGTGAAAGAATCTATTACTATGAGTATTAAAACAATTGTTATTGTTTTTTAATAATGTAATTATTTTTAAGATATATTGTACATTAGATAATATGTTTAATTACTGAGATACTATGTTTAAGCAAGTGTAATGTATTCAAACTTTAGTATATTTAATGAAGTATATTCTAAAATTATACTACAATCATTTCTGATTTAAAATTTTTAATTTACTTAATTATATCAGTTTTACATATCAAGATTGACAGACAGACAAAAAGAAAATATTTACCAGATTGTGAAAAAAAATATGAACTTCGCTCTTCTGATTGCTAACGCCCATACTTTTAAAACTTTCATATCTCTACCATTAATAATAATAACAATGTTAACCTATAGATGAGATAAATCATTACTATTGCCGTAATATATGGTATTAAGGTCCAAAAATAATAAAATGTAAGAATATGGCTTTTATAGAACCTTCAAATGTGTAAACTCGGCCCACTGTTGGTACAAGGGCTTAAAATGGAAAAATTGGTGCTCATACCTAAGCACCGAGTTTCAATTTAGCTGGAAATTTTTACAAAGTTATTTAGGTAGAAATACATGTTATTGAAATCTCTGCTATAGAATGCTTTAGAAGTCTCAAGAAAATTGAGCATTACTATATATTGTGATAAACAGCCAGCTATTGAACTTTTTTAGCCTTGGACCACGTTATACAAATTAGTTCCGCGCTGCAAAAATCCCTTAACTGAGTTGGATTATATAAACAAAATAATACTTGTTTGCATACCCAGATGTAACAGCTGAAAAGCACACTAAGAAAAATGTTTTAATTCCTGTTATATATTCTCTTTTTAGACTGCATTATGACCTAAAATCAACTACTAACTGAGAAAATAATTGCAATAATAAGTTTATATATTAAATTGGAAAACTGGTATACTTTTAAAAGTGACAGATAGATAGAAACTTGTACGACATTTTCCCGAACTGCAAATAAGGTATCACGTATAGAGTCATTATGATATCTACTATTAAGTTTATCCTTTATAGTCCCTTCACTTAAGTGCTATAATCTTAATATATTTTAACAAAGATAATCTAATCGTATAATCCCAAATGAATGCTCATCTTGTAATAAATAAATCAATAAAAACATTAAAAGACTAACAATTCCAACAGATCTTAGGAACTGATTTAAAAATAAGATAAAAATTTTTAATTACTAATAAGTTGTTAAGAACAATGATATATTATAAATAAAATAAAAGATTAAGAAAAATGTTTCCTTAACGAATACGTAATGCAATTCTAATTATGGGAAATGGAAAGTTTTGCTTTTGTTATAACAAAATATTAAAATGTGTAGAAGTTTGGTTTACAAAAATAGTTTCCACACAACAAACTTAATGATAATTTATTAAAACGTTTTTATTAAAAACTTTTTAATGTCTATCTTCATTTCATTTAGATACTTTCTAGTTTTCTTTGTCTATTTCCGACAAGCCATGAATAACCAATTTTCATCGACATACTCTCTCTTCCCCATCAACCTTTCAAACTCATTAATAAAATAAAAAATTGTTATAAATAATTTTTTTAAAATTATCAACCTTTATTAAACATTAATAAAATAAAAAATTGTTATAAATAATTTTTTTAAATAATAAATTTTTTTTACATATAATACATACTTTGGCAGACATTAAAAATTAGTATAGAGAAAAAAAAAGTTTTTAATTTTTTAAAATAAATTTTCAATCCATATTGAAATATGAAATATGTGCAGATTTATGAAAATAAATTCTGTGGGGTACAGCAATTTCTATATTTTACAAAAACAACGCTCCAAAAATATTTAGATCATTATACCAAAATTGTGTATCCATTCAATTGAATTATTTGGTTAAGTTAGCCATTTAAATTTTTATTTTACAAAGATATCAGTCCAAAACGTTAAGATACATACTTAACGCACCTTGGTTTATGAAAAACTTTATCACATACAAATATAACATTTTGACCACTTTTAAGTCGTCAAAAACCGTTATATATTTTTTAGAAAACATCCTACCCAAGACTATCAAAGATTTGGTAAAAGCGTTAATCAACTTATACTAACAAAGAGTTAATCACCAAGAACTACATGATAGTACTTCCACAATAGAAGTTCGCAAATTTAATGAGTCTGAAGGATATCCAAAACATAGATATTTACAATATAATCTCCTTTATCAAATTAAGAGCATGGCGGACATTCCATGCTTTAAAATAAAATAAGTAAACCTTATACCACGGACCTCACTTAAATCAATGGGTTAAATTTCATTAGAGTGAATGTTAGGTGGTTTATTAAGAAAGCAGTTCAGCTTTATCAGATTACAAAAAAGAAGAGTGGGGTTTTTACTTGAAGTTATTGAATTTTAATTAATATTTAGATGGCCAGCTCTTTTTAGACGGGAAGTAGTGGATAGAGATTCTTTGCTTATGGAGTAACGTTCTGTCAGCTTTTTATTGTATTTTTTTCTTATATTGGTCAATTTTAGCTTAGCTTTAACTAAAGGAATTTGTAGATCTCACTGGATAGTTTCATTTTTAATATACTATGGGGTACTAACGATTATTCTGAGTATTTTTGTTTGAGCTCTTTGGATAATTTCAATATTTGAGGCATTAGCATTACTAAATAGCTGGGTACCATAAGTCTATATTGGTTTTATGATGCTGTTGTACCAGAGTACTTTATATTCTATGCACAGGGAAGAACTGTTATTAATGAGTCAATCTAACTTAAAGGCTTGGAGCTTCATTTGTATTTTTTTTTTGGAACATATATCTTTTTTTTTTTTGAACATATAATATCTTTTGCTGGTATTGGGAGCACTAGTATTACCAAATAGCTGGATACCTTATGGTATTTTAATATGGACTTGTGTCCAAATTGGTTTTATGATGCTGCTATACAAGAATACTTTATACTCTAAGCACAGGCAGGATCTATTATTAATGAGCCAATCCAACTTAGAGGTTTGGAACTTCATTTGCACTTTGGGTGTTTTTTTTTTTGAATATATATGTTTTGCTGGTATTATTGTTTTTAGAATCTTAACAAATCCTTCATCTAGCTCCTGACATCAAAAAAATATCAAAAACATAACCAAATAAACTTTTGATAGCCGTTTGTATAAAGCTTGGAAATTAAAGGGTTAAGTCTGTCTTCATGCTAATGAAGCTTCATTTTTTTTTATATGTGTTTATATGTGTTTCTTATAAATATACACAAACTTGAATAATTGGAGTAATTATTTTATTTTTAGTAATAGCAACTGCTTTTATAGGGTATGTTTTACCATGAGGACAAATATCTTTTTGAGGAACCACTGTAATTACTAATCTCTTATCTGCTTAGTTTTACTGTTATATATGTTCTAATATTTATTTAAACATTTTAATAAAATAAAACATTTTGAATAAAATAACTTTCAAAGTAGTCTATTTTAACACACATATACCTCTATACCTTTATTAATTAGTTGAAACAATTAGTTGTCGGGTCTAATGATAGTTCCGATCGAAATGAATACTTTTATGAATTATTATAAACCTCTCTGTTTTTCTTGAAGAATCAATCTTTCGACGATGTAAAACAGGTGCAGTTTAAATGTATCTGAACAAATCTGGTTCATCAGTGACTTTTGAAAGTCAAAGCGAAATTTTAGCTCAACAAATTTAATTAATCAGCAACTAAAATTAGCTAAAATTGGAACACGCGTTCAATTTGTGTTTATCATTTTTGTTTGTTCATAAAAAATCGCAAGTAATATCACTTCCAAATAATAAACAAATTCGAATATATGTATTTTCGGACCTTGGTAACTAATCAAGGTATATTTGTTTATATCTTTTGTTTATTGCTGCGAATAACAATAATTTTACTACTTATTGATTAAAACTGTTGAGATAAGAGTAAATTATTTGATTTGATTTGATTTCAATTTCACTTACTGGTCTTCAGCCATCGTTCAATAATATTGCAATAATAATAAAAACCACAATAAATAAATAAAAATATTTCCGTCTCTATTGAATATAAACAGATAGAATGTTTATTCCAAAATAATATTCACTAAGTAAAATTTTGTATTCTTCGCACAAGAAACAATCCACAAATGAACAACAGAATTTTGTTTAATTTTCTGGTTGGTCTTTCGGGAATGCTTGGTTCTCAATACATTATATACTGCAGATATACGTACATACCCGTATGTAAAAAAAATATACATATTATTCTGTTTAACTTCGGTTATTCTGTATGTTATGAAATTTATTTTTATTTGCAAATATGAACAATTAAAAAAGATATATTTTTTATTGTTTCTCATAAAGTCATTTATTTAAACAAAATATCCTGTATGTGCTTTGTTCAGATGTGTCAATTGCTGTTCTTGAACCGCAATTAAAATCGGAATATTTTGAGGCAATGTTTGGGTCGCGTGTACACAAATTTCGGATGAAAGTGCGTAGAGAAATTAAATTGATTTGAATAACTTCTATACACACACACATTAGAAAAATAAATCAACATTTACATATACATATGTGATGATACTGCACACGCCTTCCAAATTTCTACATATGTACTATATTTATTAGATTTTAAGACTGAGATAAAAAATACAGAAATTAATTTAACTTAAGGAGAATTTTCTTTCTTTCTTGAAAAAATCGTAAAATCCTCTATATTATTAATTAAGTTAATTAAGTCAGACATTGAAAACGGAATTCAAGTTCAAATATGAAAAAAAATCAAATCCAATCAAAATAATAAATTTATTAAAGGTAAAATAGTGAACTAATGAATGAATTTTATTTTAATACCTTGATGATATCAAATACACAGACGTGTGTTTAATAGTACATTTCCATCGCTTATTTAGTAAGCTTAACTTACTAAGTAAATGTCATTAACCATACAAAAAGCTTTCTTGCTTTTTCACTTACTTTAAAATATAGTAAACAAAATTCTACCAAAATTTCTGATGTTTGTAATACAATAAAATAAAATATTATTAGTATTAGGAAAAAACAAAAGAATTGTTATTGAAGTTGGTCTGCTCTAGGTCTCTGATTGATAAATGGTTTTCAGCCAAGAGAAGTCGCTACTGGCACAGCATTCCAGGTAACCGTCAGCGTAAAGTGCTGGTTCATCTTTACAGTTATGGTAAGGTATCCTTCTTCAGAAGAACACAGTTGAGGTTGCTGGTGAGATATTTAACGGGTCACCATGGAGTGCGTTATCACCTTAACAAAATGGGTCTGTCCGAAGAGATAGATTGTCGACTCTAAGACTATTCAGTCTTAATCTAGGCCAGTTGGAGGTCACTGGTTCGAGAACTACTCTCCTCTTCTGACATTAGGAGGTCCTCAACGGCCGACATTCTGGTTTTCAGCCGGTAGGTGGAATGTCTCCTGTTCGGGTAGAGTCTGTTGTAGCACAAAAGATCAACCATGGTCGCAATGCTCTGCTTACTGTGAAACTTACTGTGATCATCAGTAAACTCATAAAACAAGCGTACAAATAATATAATAAATAATAAAATAAATAAAATAAAATATAAATAAATAAATAGTAGTAACATTAGCAGTAACAGCAACTGAAATATAACCATTCATAACATTATTCATAAAAGTAATTAAGTCACAGGTTTGATTTTGATTTTCCGGGCACACCAATTCCTCAGTCAGTAAATTTTTCTATATGGCTTTATATATAATTAATAGGTAGGCTAAATTTTTAAAAAAATTCAAAAAGAAATCTTTTTGTTAAACTTCTCTATATGTCATAGTTTAAAGTTAAAGCTTTTTACACTTCATCGATTGTTGATGATTTTCATGTAAAAATGTTCAATTTTAAAATACGATATCTTGAAAATAAAGCTATACTGACATATAGCATGGTGAAAAAAGTTGTTTAAAATAGCGGTATATACTCAAATTCATTAGCCAGAACGTATAACATGAGCAAATAACGCCTTGTTAATGAACAAGTTTACTTTCAACGAAGCACTTATTCAGCATCCAGTCATGGACTAAGATGGACACCTTAATCGAAGACGGCGTATTTTGCGAAGGTAAACATTAATATCATGCTTACATATAAGGAAGTACTTATTCAACATTCAGCTAAAGTTCAAGATGGACAACTAGAGTGATGAGAGAGTATATCGCGAATGTAAACATTACTATCATGATTAAATACAAGGAAGCACTCATTCAGCATCCAGTCACAGGCCAAGATGGACATCTTAAGTGATGAGAGAGTATATCGCGAAGATGAAGATTAATATCATGCTTACATACATATCATGCTAACATACTCATTCAGCATCCAGTCAAAGATCAAGATGGACAACTAGAACGATGAGAGAGTATTTCGGGGAGATGAGCATTGTCAACGGGTCACTTAGAAATAACGCTTCTAAAATTCATCCATCTAATCCTAAATTCATGTTAGGATAAAAAACCAATTGAAAACTCTACAAAGAAATGAAGAAATAGGATTCGAATTATGATACAACAAAACATATAATGGATATGCTGACTGTAAATGATACTTGTAAATTTCCTAAAAGTGCTTGACATATTTAATAGAACAGCTCTTATGGACAAGCTTTAGCAACAAAGAATTACCAACAAAAATAATTGATATAGTCAAATTGATGTACGATAAATTGGAAGTAAAAGTCTTATGACATATGCACCAGTAGCTGCTGTTCAAGTAGTTCTAAACATTATGAGAAAAGTATGCAAGCAAAGTATTGGCATAATGTGAATTTTTATAAAATAATTTGAGAATTTGGGCTTTGAAGACTATATCTACCTACAGTCACGCAGAAGCATCGATAAGTATAATCCGAAGTAAATCACCTGCAATACACAAAATATAGTTAACAAACTGTATGAATGGGTCATATACTTAATAATTTCTCAGTTAATCAATTGATAATGAATTTTGGAATGATTAAAAATAACAGGTTTCCAATTTTAATTGTGAATCATCTTCGTATTATACATTTCTGTTTTTGATTTCTGTTTTTAATTAAATTTAATTCGTTGTTGTGACAACATACAAGTATAAGGAAGAAATTAAAAATGTCATAAGTTGTGATGCAATATACTATAAACATTAAATCAGTTATTGAAATGTAATTAATTGTTACATTGTAACTAAAAGAACACAACTTAAATAAAAATGTTATTAGAAAATCATTAGTAATTAGAAAATAATCAAGAAATTGAATCATTTTAACAAAATCTACTCTATTATGCCTCCCTATTATATCCGGAAATACATCGACGATATTCTATTATCAAAGAGAAGAGAATTCGTTAGAGAAATTAATTCTGTAATTACAGCAATTTATTGTTGATTTATTTCAAAAATTACTAAATCAAATAAAACTAAATCCATCTAGAAAGATAATAGGTGTTACGTGTTCACCTGGATACTGAATTATCCTACAGAATTCCTATTTTTAAACAAATATAAAGTTTTGGACCCCAAGCTACCAAACTTATTTTGATGCCTCAGTTGACATCATATGACAACAAGTTTCTGATTTACTAATATCTTCTGATTTCTGACCTATCAACATTGGCTGGTGTTCTAATAATAGTTCTTATAAACAAAAACAAAAACCCAAACGTCCATTATCAAAAATAATTTATTCCAATTAACTAAATCCAATAAATTTAAATTTAAATAAATTTAAAGAAGACAAATAAGAAAAACTTCCTGTAGCTTTTTTTGAAATAAATGGTTAGTTTACATTATTACACATAAATTGATATGGATATTGTACTACACTATAGTCCACGTATGGCTAGCAATGTACAACTTATAGCACTCAGCAAGGCCTCAAACACTACTATTCGTCAGCTAGAAATTGTACAAAGCCAGGCTATGAGAAGACTTTTCAAGGTACCATGGTACATTAGAACGAATGACATCCTCAGGGACCTTAAAATTGTTCCGATCAAAAATTATATAAGGATAGAGCCCTGAAATTATTTACGAAAACTGACAGGCTTACCAACACCGTATTATCGAATCTCAGAATGGTTACAGGCTCCTCAGGGAGGTATGCAGAGCTGATATTAATTATTGCTTAGTCTGATGAAGTGATAAACAATAATCCAGTCAAGGCGTAGAAAGGGGTTATGAAGAAACCTCGCAGTTAATAGAGAGTAAAAATGCACAAGTCCACTGACTCAACTAGCCTTAACATAATAATAATAATAACATTAATTCTTTTATAGAAGAGAAATATATTAAATATTTAGCAGCACTATTTTCCTATCTGTTTAAAAATTACATACAATATAACAAATTAAACAAATAGCTATTTAATTAATTGATAACGAAATATGGTGAAATGTACACTATTTCATCACAGCATGTAATTTAGTAACATATTATTTAATTAAAGTTCTATATACATTATTGGAATATTTTCAATTATATAATGTAATTATAAACACGATGGGATATCATGCCTAAATGGAACTCTTAGATCACCATGATAACCTTACCTAATGTAATTATTAATTTAAAGATACAAATTGAATAAATAAATTTTATTGCATACTTTTCGGATGAAAAGTTTTTACAAATAATCATTCATGGCACACAGGTGGACCGACGTAGTAATGAGAGATATTCTGTTACTTATAAATATAATTATTTAAAATTAATCAATATTTTATATGAGTTTTTATAAAAATAAACTAAATAGTGCTTTTACAGTACTGTGAAAGAACGCCACTACGTTTCTTGAACTTTATTTATAAAAAAAAATAAACGATACCTGCACAATTATTTTTTTATTTCAAATTATTATGAGAATGCACACTATTGTAGTTTACACTACATAACTTAAAAAAGCTTTTATTAATAAAAATATACAACATAATAAATCATTGCATTTATGATTTGTTTCGTAAGCTATTACGTTATGACTGTCAATAGAAACTAACTACCATATTTAGTTCATGCCACTTCCTTCAATTTAACACATTTATTTTCAGAATATAATTTGCGAAATGTAATGACATCATGTTAGATATTTAAATTACACACAATTATTTTCAAATTAAATCGAAGTTACATTTTTACATGAAATTACTTTAAGCTCTAACGCACTTTGACATATTCGCGAAAGATACGTCATAGTAACAAATAGCTTCGAACATTAATTGGAAAGTTGCACAGATTTAGAAAAGCAGTTTGCTTAAAAATTATGGTTTAAATTTATATTAGTTTTTTAATGAAACAAATTAATTGCGTAATATGAGTTGTTTTATATTACATCTTTATACTTACCACTAAAATAATTGAAATATTTGCAGTTAGTCTTTAAGATTTTTTTTTAATAAGACTTCTTTTTATTTTTTCTGTTAGTGTTATTTATTTTTAAATAAATTTATTTTTGCAATTTTAAAAAAAATATTATTTATATACATTAAATTTTTAACGCGTCGTTTTCCACAAATCTCATTTAGACTTTGCTATATAAAATTCTACAACAGCCAAAACATTTGACTTTGAAATATCCTTTGCAAATTGAGTACGAAAGTGTATATCTTGTAATGTTTTCATAATAATTTGCCGCTCCTTACCAACAACAACAAAAAATTAATTACTGCGCAGATGCTGGCTCCAAAATCAGTAAATTACACTGAAATTATTTCAAATGAATGTTTAATTATTGTAATATATGCTATTTATCAATTTTTTTTTAAATTAATACGATATTATTGAACTTAAAAAATAATAAAAGCAAATATATTTTTTGCAGGTAATAGTATATCCAGATAATATACTTGATTTACTGTTATCCGGCGGTTTAATGCTTTTTCCATATAAATTTCAAATTGCTCATGGGCAACACTGTCAGTTGTTTCATTTGACAGTTCATCAGCTGTCGTAATAGCAACAACAATAATTGTTGATATGATAAACAAAGTTTATACGCCTGCAAAAAAGCATAATTTTATATATTCAAATTTTAAAAGTTTATAAGTGAATATAAATAAATTTCCTTGATTTTAAAATAAAAAATATTACTTAAAAGTTTGAACGTAGTTTCTATATCAAGATGCAGAACGTTGATCAAGGAGAACATATGTTGGCGTTAAAAGGTGCTTTTAAATATTTAGAATATAATTGCAATATCTTTAATTAAAGTAATTTTATTGTTAGTAATGCGTTTAACTCGTCCGACACTGGTTAGTCCTCAAGTTATTACATGTGAGGTGAAAGATATGCCACAATCAAGTTTTCGACAGGTGCTCGATAATGAAGGGACAACTGTTTCAGGTGCAGAAACTGTAGCTGCAGGTCAATTTATGTTATTGCCACAATCGTTTGGTAATATATATTTGGGTGAAACTTTTGCCAGTTACATATGTGTACACAATTGTACAACGCATCCGGTAGAAGGTGTTAGTGTTAAAGCAGATTTACAATCCAACACGACACGTATTAATCTGTTAATGCATGAAAAGAAAACACAATCTGTATTGCTGGGACCAGAGGAAACAATAGATGATGTTATTCGCTATGAAGTTAAAGAAATCGGCACTCATATGTAAATAAACTTTTAAAATATTTAAATATTTGATTAAAAATGATTTTTTAATTTTAGTTTAGTTTGTGAAGTCAATTACAATACTCTTGCTGGATTTCCACAAAATTTTCGCAAATTTTTTAAATTTCAAGTACTTAAACCACTTGATGTAAAAACCAAGTTTATTAATGCTGAAATGGATGAATGCTATTTAGAGGCGCAGGTAATTCGTTAAATTGTTAATCAATTAAAAAAAAATAAAACATACATTTTTAGATACAAAACATAACAACTGGACCCTTTTGTTTGGAGAAAGTGGAATTAGATAGTTCAGAACACTACACTGTTACTTCTTTAAATACTCTGCCAAATGGAGAGTCAGTGTTTTCCACAAAAAATATGTTGCAACCAAACAATAGCTGTCAATTTCTTTATTGCATTAAGGTATTTCTTTAAATTCTTTAGTTTCCATGCCATGAAATCTTTTAAAATGTTCTACTTAATTAGCCAAAACCAAGTATTGCGAAAGATATCAAGGAACTTAGACAAGCGAGTGCTGTGGGTAAACTTGATATAGTTTGGCGTTCGAATCTTGGCGAAAAAGGTCGCTTACAAACAAGTCAATTGCAGCGTTTAGTGAGTTTTTATTATTAACTCAATTATTGCTTTACAAAAATATTATAAAACTGTTATTTCAGCCTTTTGAATATAAAGATGTGCGTTTAGAAATCATCGATGCAGAGAATATTGTTAAAATAAGTGAACCTTTCACTTTTCAATGCCGCGTAACAAATACCACTGAACGTCCGATGGACCTCGTAGTTAAATTGGAGACAAAACTAAGTAATAAGTGTGATTATACTGGAAGTGCACAGTTTTCAATAGGAAATTTAGATCCAGGGCAGAGCAATGAATTCCCTTTAACTATATGTCCCAATAGGCTGGGTCTTATTAAAATATCTCCACTTATATTAATAAATAAGTTATTGCAGGAAAAGTACACAATCGATAAGGTTGTAGATGTGTTTGTTGTTGATGCGGATTACCATGAAGATAGCACATTCCAAATAAATAAATTTGTACGTTACGACAATGCGCTACAAGTACTTTCAGAAGAACAATCATTAAGTTTACAAGTTGTCTGAAAAGTGATTTGTTTAAAGATATTTAAAAAATTTTGAATCGTTTTTGATTATAGTGCAATTATTTAAATAAAACTGTTTTTGAAAAAGTTTACAAATGTTTTATAATCAACTCGTGTAAATTTTGAAAGCACTGATCGCAAAAAGCTGCACGATTGGAACTGTTCGATATTGAAAAAATATTCTATATTGTCAAAATGGAATGTAAAGAATTCAATTGAAATTAAACTAATTCACTGGAAATTTCCTATAAAATGAAAAAAATTTCAGATTAAATTGTGAAGCTCTTATGCAGCGCAGTTTTTGTTATTTATGTGTAAACTATACATAGTGAATATATGAAAATATAAAAAAAATCAATGATTGTATGTGTTGAGGACATTTGTATTATGCATTCATAAAAAGAACCCAATCAAAAATATCTGAAAGATTTTCAAAGAAGAAGTATAATATTTCAAACAAATGGAAGGTCAAGAGAAGACAGAAGCAGTTTTTATAATAAGAAACTAAATTCAAATAAAATAAAATTAATTCGGCTAATGTTTAAAAGAAAATTAGATATAAAAAATTCGTGGACTATTAATACAAATGTTTCAAGTCTCCAGATATACCAGAAATAATTTTCTATCTAAAGATACCTGAAGAAAGCTATCGGCAAAAATGCTTTAAATACTGGAGCTGAAAATACCTTGAGAAGATAGGAAATCACTAAACCATAACTATATTAAAATATTAAGGAAATGTCATAAAAAAGTTAGATAAATCTAACTTAAGATTTCAGATAGTTCAAGAAAAATGAAAAGTAATACAAGATCAGAAGTATAATCCAATGAACATAAAATGCCTAAACATAAAAGATAGAATAAACACATTAAAAAACTTTATCAATTCGGTTCCAAATTAATTATATACATTTTCTTTAGGATATCTTTATTTTTAAAAGTTTGATGTTAAAAATATCTTAATAAAAAGTTTTTTGTGATATCTTAATTTTCGTTATAGTGAATTTAGCACAATAAGTTTACTTGGGAACTATTTTTGTTAAAATCAGTTACTGCAAGCAACTCACTTTTATTATGCTATATGTCGATATTGCACTAAAAGCGTCAATGCATATATCATTATATTTAATAATATTTTTGGCAGGGCACGAGTTCGATTCTTGATACTAGCAGTCTCAAAATATTAATCACGAATAATACGAATAATTATATATAATAAATAATTCCCAGACCATTGATGACGAAAATTTGGCAATACTTAAAACAGCTTCATGATCAGCCAAAAATTCATTTAATTAAAAAAAATTAAATTTTATTGTTGTAATTTAATACTATTCGTAATACCTCTATATTGAAAACAATAGTTTATATTGTTATATCATTAAAATTCAATTCAATATATAATATTTTTATCATTTTACTTTTATACATAAATTGATAGGAACTAATGATTATGCTTCATTTAATAAACATCAGGCTTTAAAGTTTTAAATTTTCACATGGATTACAAAAACTAGTTCTGCCATCTAGTGGTAATATATAGAATTTGTAAATTACTTACAAACTAAAAATTAACATCTGACAGCTCATTGCTATTGGTGGTTTTTGAGTGAAAATAAAGCGTAAATTTAAAATTAAAAAATAATGCTCTATATAGGCCTTGCACACGGTATATAAATTATGTTGGTATGGCAGCGAATGTTGATATTTACCAGAATTACGAGTAGGGTAAATTAGATAAAAATTAAGTGAATTAGATAATACCATTGTGAAAATTTTATAAGATGTTTAATAAATAAATAAATAAATTTGAAAACTTTTAACCAAAAATAATAAATAAATCAAAAAAAAAAAATATTTGTATAAGTGCAGTGCAAAAAATTCGTAGGAAATTTAAATTTACTTTACCGCAATTTACTCGAACTCTTACACGGCCTTAATAATATTTTTATGCATTTTTTAAAAAAATACAACACTGCATTGGTTTTCGCTGTAAATCGTTTCGGGCAAATTTGTCAGTGGTGTCGTAAAAACCACACCACAAGAATGTCTCACATTCCATTTATATTCACAAAGCTGAGAGGCGTATAACTAGTCTTGTGCCACAGAAAACTACTAGTTTAGTTAACCTATTTTTATATATACAATTTAATATTAAAAATAATAAAAATGTCGGAAGAAGTTAAAACTTACACTCGTAAACAAATTGCCGAACATAATACAAACAAGGATACCTGGATAGTTATACATAATAACGTATATGATGTGACTTCTTTCCTTAACGAAGTAAGTAAATTCTTAATTTATGTGTACGTGAGTTCAAAAAAATGTATATGTATATGTATAGTGTCGTGATTTTAACAGATAAAAACAATAGATATTGCGTATCTTTTTTTCAAAAGTCATTGTTTTATTTAATTTTCGTTGGCCAAATGACAATGCGAATAATTATATCTTGAATATATTAGACAGTTAACTACATGGCACTTCTTAAAAAGCTAAAAAACTTAAGTTTTGGACTTTGAACGTGGCGTTTTAATTTTCCGTCTAATTGCGGTTAATTCTTTTAATTCTAATTCAATTTTTCAATAGACATTTCCATAGACAGGCGCAACAAAAACCAAAGTTGAGTGTAACAATTAAAAATATTACAAATCAAAGTACATGGATTTTGCCTTCGCTACTGAAACATATTGAAATTATGCGCTTAATCGTATTAATATTTAGTTTTTGCTTTAATTAAAAATTCAGTAGAAAGTTCTTAACATGGGTCTTAATATGGGTCAAAGTTATTAATTTAAATTTATATGTGGTCAGAAACTAAGTTCATTGTTTCATTTTATGTTCAGATTCACATTTCTCTTTGTTGACATCGTTCATCACCTTTACTCCGTTTTACGGGTCATTTTTTTTTTTTTTTGAGTAGAAATTATCGCCAATTTTTAAACTATTTAACTTTCAAGATTTGATAACGAAATAAATTTATTTAATTTGCTGCTTATTCGATGCAAATACCGCTTTGCCGATATATAAAATTCACTTAAATAAACAACGCATGAAGATGATAAGTGAAAAAAAGTTTTGTGATTACGTGACCCGGCACGATTCGCCCCTGCAGTTTTAACAAAAAAAAAGAAAAGAAATTATTTTAGTTGCGGAATTAATAATACAATTCATTATTAGCTTATTCAATTTGTTTTTATATGTTTATATTAATATTTTGTTTTCAATATGTTGAAGTTTCATATTACATATTTTTATATTACGTTTCAATTGTGAGACTGATTGACCTTTTACGTTTATCATATCATTATTATTTTATTGATTTTAAAATATTACCTGTAATCATTCATATTATATTAATACGATATCAGTAATTAAAACTTGAAGCTCCATATGAAGTTTTAACACGCTATCTCAAATGTATTTCCCAACTACAATGTTGCAGCTCATGCCAACGTCTATTTGTTTAGTTTTTATTAAGCATGACCCTCATATCCCATTCACACGACAAAAATTATACATGATTCCGTAAACATGATTAAAATACAGTTTAGGCGTTATTTGAGTTGATTATAAGTAGTGAACAGCTCTTTAAAAAATCATGTGAATAAGGAAACCCTAAAAAAATACAATGAAACAGTGCCCAAATGAAATTGTGCCCAGTAAAATGTTAAATTTTTATGACATATTAATATATGTAATTAATATACGTCTAATGTTATATATAATAGGATGAGTGACTAATGTTATATACAAAAGAAATGAGTTTCGCATGAAAAAAGGCTTATTTGTTGAAAATTTACGCTTTGAGACCCTAACTTTAATAAAAAATCTATGCAATACCTGTCCATTTAACTCTTGATATATAATTTTTTATTGAACATAGTGATCAACAGGTTGTTTCAGTTGTATTTTAAGTGCTGTTTTAATATGAAAGGGCAAAAAGAGTAAAGAGAAAAAAAGTTCTTGAAACATTTTTGAGGTAAATTTTAAAACAAAATTTAAGGTAACTGTCGAAAGCTAAGTTAAATCGTCGTTCATTCCATTTTTACTGGTTTAATTGGCTATCATCTGCTTGAGACATGGCATCTTAAAAAAAAACATACTTTCACCCTATTGAAGACGGCTCATAATACAAAGGAAAAAAATAAAAATTTATTAAAGAAAACGAAAGTATATTTATATATATATACTATATATATAAATACATAATTTACTGTATTTGTTAGAACGACTTAAGAAACTAATAAACTTTAATTATTGTATTAAACAAGTTAGAAAACGAGAACCACATGGACAAAAACCATTGAATATTAAAGTATAATTAAGTTTTGTATGAATATATTATTATTAAAGTTAATTCATCACTAATTATAATGAAGACATGTACCAGGTTAACTGTATTTGTGTCTATATTTTATATTTGATTTTCAAGTAAAGAAACAAATATATATAGAGATCTAAAATGCATATTGCATTGAAATGGCTTTAGGTTAGGTTATACCGGCGATCACTAGTGGATGCACTTAGGCCTGTTGGCCCATTGTGGTTTGAAATGGCTTTATTACAATAAAAAATTTGCTAAAAATTTCATATTTAATTTACGTTTTTAGAACATCATTATATCGGAATATCGCATATCTGAATGAGATAACGATGTATTAACAGATTTATTTCATATGATGTTTGGTCTTGGGTACATATCTAGGTAGTTTAGAACTGATATATTTAATAGAAAGTCGCACGACTATTTATTAGGTCTTGGTTAAATGAATACGACACTTAAAAATAATTGACCAAAATTGTCATGGAAAACACTCATGCTAAGCCACGTACGATCACATAAGAACAAAGCACCCAATATATTAATATCTAATAAGTAGGCATGTAGTTATGGAATCCTTTCAATCATTGCTGTCAAAGCTGTGTGTTAAAAAAGAAAAATGAATATGTTTTTTATTTACTCTGCCACCGTTTTGTCTTTACTAGAAGACGTCTATTCACTACAGGTTCCCACTTCATTAAATGTCCTCAATGCTTACATTAAAGT